GTGTTCGGTCTTGACGAGCACATGCAACCTGATGGATCAAAATATTCCTTTTCATATGTTTATATCAAACAATAGGCTCCTCAATCCCTTCTAGTAGTCCTACGAATTTTGATTTACCGTTGCCCTGGGGAGCCCGCGAAAAGCCGTTAAAGAACTTGCTAAAAGGAAAAAGACGTACACCACCCATGGACGGCAGCCAGAAGAAGAAAGGTGTATTCTGTCTTGAAAAGCAAATACATAGTAGGTGCGTTACCAAGCTGATCCTGGGATGCAAAGGGCTTCGTTCATGAAGAACTCTTCCATGCAGTTATCGTTTAACTTGTAATCAGCAAATACTGTCACTACTGTTTCGCTTTGTCACTATTCAAATCATGATGATATCATAAAAATTCAGCTGCTAATTCACTGAAAATCCAAGCTACTGAACTAGTTTGAATGAGAAAATTATATTATTTTTGAAACCTGTTCAACCACCGCGATACTGTGGTGCTCAGCACAAGTCGGGCAGCGGTCATACTTTTGCACGGCTAACGAAGCGTTGAAGCATTTCGCTCGTACTTCCATCACCAATTTTCCGTTTTTTGTTAACTTTTGCTTTCGAGGACGACCAAGGTGATCATGCTGCAAGCATTTGTCCTTAATATCAAAATCTTATTAAAAAATCCACGATTTTAGTCTAAAACAAATGGCTTAACAAGGAGATGCAGCCTTACAGGGCAGAATTTTGAGCCTCCCTTAGTTTAGAAATTCAGATCAGTCAAGCTGGAAGTCAAGACACCCTTTGTAATTTGCCCTTTATGAAAGGCGAAAGCACTCCGAAGTAGTCCAAGCGATACTACGTACTAGCAGCATCTGCCGGCTAGCAAGAGTATCGATGACTCCCCACCCCAAAATCTGTTTTGAAAGCCGAGATTTCATATGCCGAGTTAGAATGCTTGTAGATTGCAACTATCATTTATTTCCAACAATAAAGATTCGTTCAACTCATATGTATCTAGATTCTTTCCGGAACTCGAAAAATTGACATTATTCTTAGAAAAATATTTGAAAAAAAAGCAACCTCATCCTCAAAAATGCGCCGTATAGCAGTGGAATCGCATATTCGCGGAAACCCGTAAGCGGGATCCAAGCCGGCTACTTCACATTTCAATGCGATATCGCTAACACTGCTAGATGTCCAGTGTGAGATAAATGAATGTTGGCCTTCCTAAAATGTTGATTTTTCACGTTATGCCGATGTTTCGAATATGAGGGAAATTGGGTTATTTTGATATTGGCGGCTGGGTATATAGCAGTTAGGCCACGCTTACATTTTTCACTAATAGCAGTACATTAAAATAAACCCCAATGGCTCTGCTGATGAAAGAAGGGCAGAAAAGGAAGGAGGAGAGCCCGAAGATGAGTGATGGAGGAAGAAGTTAAGACAGTTCTCTCTTGCTGTGGCTTACGTCAGGATATTTAATCGCTTTACTCAAATTTAACTGAAATTATGCTTTATTTTGATAAAAAATCAAAATATTCGAATCGAAATATTTTACTAAAATCGAAAAATATGTAAATTAAAAAACCTATTCATTGGAAAAAGCGGACGAAGCATCAAAAATGCAGTATTTAACAAATAAAAATTTTTTTGTTTTTCTATATTTTTTAAATAGAAAAATGTCATTTTCAGGTTTCTGACAAATGGTTTTCGACTCTGTTACCTAAATTT